GGCTTCTGATAAAATCCACTCATGCTAATATTCAGCAACATTTCCCATTTTATCATAAGCACAAGAAACTCCGTTTTGTTTTAAATTCACTTGCCGGACCAGCATTTATTGCCCATTCCTAGTTGCCCTAAAGAAGGTGGTGGTGAGTTGCTTTCTTGAATTGTTGCAGTCCATGTGTCATAGGTAGCCCACAATGCCATTAGGGAGGCAATGCCAAGATTTGACCCAGTGTCAGTGAAGGAGCAGCAATATATTTCCAAGTCAGGATGGTGAGTGGCTTGGAGGGGAACTTACAGGTCAGGCTGCTCCCATGTACCTGCTGCCCTTGTCCTTCTAGATGGAAGTGGTCGTGAGGTTGGAAGGTGCTGTCTGAGGATCTTTGGTGAATTTCTGCAGTGCATCTTGCAGATAGTACACACTGCTGCTACTGAGCGTAGGTGGGGGAGGGAGTGAATGCTTGTGGATGTGGTGCCAATCAAGTGGGCAGCTTTGTCCTGGATGGTGTCAAGCTTCTTGAGTGTTGTTGGGGCTGCACTCATCCAGGCAAGTGGGGAGTATTCCATCACACTCCTGACTTGTGCCTTGTAGGTGGCAGACAGGCTTTTGGTCTTATTTTCTTCTTTTCTCCTTTGTCCCACAGTGTAGCTCAAACAAGGCACTTTAGCTTTCCTAAATTCTCATTTGGCCAAGTTTATACCCAAAGCATCTCTACACAACTAATCAAACAGTTGAATGAATGCTGCACATATTCCTCCCAGATTTTCCTGAAAATCAAATATGGGTAAGGCATCAAATAAATAAAATAAATGGCCTGGTTAAAATCACATCTGTATGTGCAACACAGTTACATAATCCTTTAATGACCTACTTAGTTAATCATTGAAAGGTTGCTGGTGCATTTTCATTCCAATGCTTTTTATTCATTTGCGTGACATGGGCATCACTAGCTGGCCAGCATTGATTGACCCAGTGACAGTGAAAGAACAGTGATATATTTCCAAGTCAGGATGGTGAGTGGTTTGGAGGGGAATTTGCCCATGATGGTGCTGCCACATATCTGCTCCCTTGTCCTTTCAGATGGAAGTGGTTGTGGGGCTGGAAAGCACTGGCTAAGGATCTTTGGTGAATTTCTGCAGTGCATCTTGTAGATAGTACACACTGCTGCTACTGAGGGTCAGTGGGGGAGGATTTGATTGCTTGTGGATGTGGTGTCAATCAAGCGGGCTGCTTTGTCCTGGATGGTATCAAGCTTCATAAGTGTTGTTGGGGCTGCACCCATCAAGGCCAGTGGGGAGTATTCCATCACATTCCTGACTTGTGGCTTGTAGATGTTGGACAGGCTTTGAGGAGTCAAGCAGTATTCCTAGCCTCTGCCCTGCTGTTGTAGCCACTGTGTTTATGTGGTGAGACCAGTTGAGTTTCTGGTCATTGGTAACTCCCAGAATGTTGATAATGGGGTATTTAGTGATGGCAACACCATTGAATGTCATGGGGCAGTGGTTAAATCATCTCTTTTTGGTGACGGTCATTTGTGTGGCATGAATGTTCCATGCCACTTATCAGCCCAAGCCTGGACAGTTTCCATATCTTGTTGCATTTGAAAATAGACTGCTTCAGTATTTGAGGGGTCATGGATGGTGCTGAACATTGTGCAATCATCACTGAACTTCCCCACTTCTGATCCTATGTTGGGGGGATGCTCATTGATGTAGCAGCTGAAGATGGTTGGGCCTAGGACACTACCCTGAGGAACTCCTGCAGAGATATCCTGGAGCTGAGATGACTGACCTCCAACAACCACAACCATCTTCCTATGTGCCAAGTTTGACTCCAACCAGTGGAGAGTTCGGCCCCTGATACCCATTGAGTGTAATTTTGCTCGGACTCCTTGATGCCACATTTGGTCGATTGTGGCCTTGATGTCAAGGGCTTTCACCCTCACCTAAACTCCGCAATTCAGCTCTATTTGTCCATGTTGAACCAAGGCTGTAATGAGATCAGGAGCTGAGTGATCCTGGTGGAACCCAAACTGGGCATCACAGAACATGAAGTGGCATAACTTTGCATTGATCTAGTCCACCCTGGGTCACAAAAATGTCTTTTGTCTATGTCTATCAATGGAATATGTCAATATCCCTTTAAAAGTCTTTTTTTTTTGTCAATAATTGTGCTTGTCTAATCACTTCAACGCAGTCCCCCAATCGTGGAACTACATGTTGACTTTGCAATATGATCATTGGAATCCATCTAGATTTGAGAGCGTCACATTAGGTGAGTTTCAGCTGTTGTGACTCGGTTCAATAATGCCTATCATGAACTTTATCTCTTCACTCACTTAGGCTAATGTCTCTGAGTTAAGACTGTAAGGTTGTTGCTTAATGGGTAAGGCATCCCCTACATGAACATCAGGCATGGACAAAGGTCTTTGCTCTGGCTTATTTAAATAAATCAATTTATCAGTGCGTAATACGTTTTGTGAGTCGCTCCATGGTTTTCTGGGAGATAATATCCCATGGAACGTTAAAAGGATATCTATATATAATTGGACCTGATTAGTACACACCCAAGCATTTTCCATTTCTGACTAATTTTTTGACTCTTTACATCTCCCTCCCTACTTGAAGAAGTGTGAAATATATTACTGACGATCTGCCTCGTTATAGTAGTGTTTTAACATATTAAATGACACACTTGCTGATTTTTCCTCTTGTCTGGAGTGCTTACTGCATGATTCACATCTTTGAATTTATTTTTGATTCAATAAGGTCCAGTGAACCTCACATTTAATGGCTCCCAGATAGAGATAGCAATGCTAACATTTTGTCTCCATTGACCTTTTGGCTTTGTTATCAGCTTTGGTTTTCATTATTTATTGAGCACTTTCTGAATTTTTTTTTTGGAAAATTCACATCGCTGATTCATTTTTCTCAGAAATTTGATGTGTAGGTGAGAACAATAGGCTTTGAAATTTGGTTTGTTAGTGTCTCCATATTCAGTTTGTATTTAAATGAGTAATTAATAGAGGTGATCATAAAAACATGCCAAAGCAGTGAAGCTTAATAATAATTTGAATTTTTAATTGAAGTAAAAAATGAGCATGAATAGGCCATTCAGCCCTTCGGGCCTGCTCTGCCATTCAATATAATTGGATGCCCTTTGATCCCTTTCATCCTAAGAAATATATCTAACTCTTTCTTGAAAATATTCAATGTTTTGGCTTCTATGTTAGGTAATTCCACAGGCTCACCAGTCTCTGGGTGAAGAAATTTCTCCTTATCTCAATCCTAAATGGCCTAGTCCATATCCTTAGAATGTGACCATTGACTCTGGACTCCCTGGTCCCCTTGATGTTCCTGTCCTGGGAGTGATTAATGGGGATGGAGCTGAGGTGACACTTGTTTTTATTTTATTCTGAGTTTAAATGAGTAGAGGAAAGTTTACTCTTTACTTTTGTTGTCCCTATGCAAAGAGTAATTGATGGGAACGGTGTCGAGGGAACTTTATTCTCAGTTCAAACAAGTACAGGAAACTTTACTCTGTGTTTCGACCCCTTGTTGTCCCTATTCCAGGAGTGTTTGACGGGAATGGAGTTGAGCGAACATTATTTTTATTTTTTTGGAGGAACTTTATTTTGGTTTAAGAGTGGACTCCCCAGTCATCGGGAATCTCCTTCCTGCTTTAATCCTGTCTCGGTCCTTTTAGAATTTTACAGTTTGTATGAGATCCCTCTCATTATTCTAAACTGCATTGGATACAGTCCTAATTCTTCATTCATCAGTCCTGCCATCCCAGGAATCAGTCTGGTAATGCACTCCATCCACAACCAGAACATCCTTCCTCAGATAAGGAGATGAAAACTTTACACTATACTCTAGCTGTGGTCTCACTAAGGCCCTGTACAATTGCAGCAAGACATCCCTGCTCCTGTACTCGAATCCTTTCGCTATGAGGGCCATCATACCATTTGCTTTCTTCACTGCCTGCTGAACCTCATTTTCAGCAATGGGTGTACAAGGACATGCAGATTTCGTTGCACCTCCCACTTTCTAAATTGATAATAATCTGCATCCCTGATTTTGCTCCCAAAATAGATAACCTTACAGTTATTCACATCTGCCATGTTTTTGTGCATTCACTGAACTTGTCCAAATTACAGTGAAGCATCCTCCTCACAGCTCAACCTCCCAGCCAGCTTTGGAAAGTCTGCAAATTTGGAGGAGATATTACCTTTAGTTCCTTCATTTAAATCATCCTATTCTGCTCTGCTGTCCTGCTCTTCTAGGTACTGGAGGTAATGAGTTTGGAAGGTGCCCACTGCTGTTGCTGTGCATTGTTACCCATGAGATGCCAATCGACTGGGCTATTTTGTCCTGGATGGTGTCACGTTTCTCAAGTGTTGTTGGGGCTGCACCCATCCAGACAGGTGGGGAGTATTCCATCACACTCCTGACCTGTGCCTTGTCAATGATGGATAGGCTTTGGGGAGTCAGGAGGTGAGTTTCTCACTCCAGGACTCCTAGCCTCTGACCACAGAATTTATATAAGCTAGTCCAGTTCAGTTTCTGGCCAATGGTAACTCCCAGACCGCTGACGGTGGGTGGTATGTTGTGCCACATTTAGTTTGATCCCAAATGGTGAAGACAAAGCAGATCTTCGTTAATAAAAAAAATACATTGATGCATACAAACTATGCAGAAGTTGTTTGACTCAGAGAGCAACCTGAAACGATTTGCCAGCATATTGAAAAGTAGGAAGAATTATAGAATCCCTACAGTGCAGAAAGGAGACAATTTAGCCCACTGAGTCTGTACTGACCCTCCAAACAGCATCTCACCCAGACCCTGGGATTGAACCCAAGTCCCTGGCGCTGTGAAGCAACATTGCTAACTAACCATTGTGCCACCAAATTATAGAGTCACGTCACAGTCTACATGGACTCTGTGTTGTCATTCATTCATACAATTTACACACCCATCCTCATAATAATGACACTTCTTCAATCCTGGTAGTATTTGTTTATTGAGGTTTAATGGAATATCAGAATTTGTCCATTTTTGTGTAGTTCTTACAGTTTATTATTCAATGGCATTACTGCTTGAGATGGAGATTGCATTAAATCCGAATAAAGTACTCCCAGTTTGCAATATAAGCCTACAACCCTTCTCAACGCCCGCAAGGTTTATGCAAAATTAAAAATAATTCACCGTAAGTGGACGAACTAGCGCCTAGGATTAGTCCCTTCGTGCTTCCAGCTCATGGAGGTGTAATGCGATCTCATGGGCTGGATTCAAACGGAGGAGAGACCTCTAACAGGGCAGATTCTCAGCTCTTCGGTGTTTTTCCCTCCGTCAGCCAGGCCTGGGCTGAAATAAGGGTAGAGTTTTTCCCCGAAAGTGTGGGTAAAGGTGTGGAGATGGGACATGTCGCCTGCGTCGTAAAAGGACACTTGCCCCCCATCGTAGTCCAGGAGAACTCCGATCTTCCGGGGCTTGTTGGGCACGTTGAGGTGGGTCGGAGAAGATGTACAAGCCACATAGTCTGTGCGGTTTATCAACCAAATTATCCAGTATCCGTCCTCCGGGGCGGCCGCGATATCGCCTTTCCTGCTGGCGGATTCGGCCACCACCCCCAAGTCCCATTCTGTCTTCTCCCCCACCTCCACCTCCCAGTAATGTCGGCCTGACGTGAACCCTTCCGAGGCTAGCACGCTGACACATTGGTCATACCTCTCTGGGTTGTCGGAGGCATCCTGCCATCTGTCTCCGAGCCTGACCCCAGTCCGCTCCTCAGACACGATGAGCCAGGGATTAGCCGTGCTCGGATCCAAGGTCAGAGAGGCAGGAGCTGGGGGAAGCAAAAGGAAACCGAAATAAAAATCAGCAGCTCGATGAAGTAAGGGGGGAACTTCATAAAATCACGAGGGGCATGGATAGGATGAATAGCCAAAGGGAGGGGAGTCCAAAACTAGAGGGCATAGGTTTAAGGTGAAAGGGGAAAGGTTTAAAAGGGACCTGAGGGTCAACTTTTTCACGCAGTGGGTGGTGCGTATGGAATGAGCTGCCAGAGGAAGTGGTGGAGGCTGGTACAATTACAATATTTAAAAGGCATCTGGATGGGTACATGAATAGGAAGGGTTCAGAGGATACGGACTAAATGCTGGCAAAGGGGACTAGATTAATTTAGGGTATTGGGTTGGCATGGATGAGTTGGACTGAAGGGTCTGTTTCCCTGCTGTACATCTCTACAACCTCTAATAGTTACGTCAAACACGAGATCCCTTTCATAAAAACCGAAAGAACTGCGGATGCTGTGAATCAGGAACAAAAACAGAAGTTGTTGGAAAAGCTCAGCAGGTCTGGCAGCATCTGTGAAGAAAAAAAAATCCAGTGACCCTTCTTCAGAACGGATAGTGGCACGTATTAGTATTACAAGATAAGCATTGCAATCAAACCAGCCTCTGAGTCGATACCCTGCGCTGTTTTAAATAAGGTTCACATTCTCCAGGCACATTTTAGCCTGCCTCAAGTTCACAGCCAGATATCGCTAAATATCAATTAGATGGGGCAGTTAAAATTCAAGCACATCTCTGTGGGTGTGAAGTCAAATATAAGCCAGATAAGAATGGCAGATGTCCTTCTCTAAAAGGGCACCACTGGCAAGGAGACTGTTGCTACCCATCCCCAATTGCCCTTGAGGTGGTTGGTGATGAGCCACCTTCTTGATATGTCCCCCCCCCCCCCCCCCCCACCATGTGAGGGTAGGCACACCCACAGTTTGGAGTACTGGAGACTCGAAATTCCACTGCGAGGAACTTTAGCAACTCTTCACATAAGCATCTAAGAAACGGGACCTGCACTGGACCCTTTGAGCTTGCTCTGTCAGTCAATACAGTGCACGTTTACCTTCACTATCTTGTAAACCCTAAATCACCCTAGCCATCGAAAACTAATGCCCAGATTTTAGGGATAGAGAATCCTAAACCTCCAATACCCTCTGAGCATAGAAAGTTCTCCTCACTTTGGTCCTAAATGGACCATCCGTTATTCTGGAAGAAAATCCTAAGTTCTGGATCTGATTCAGGAGCAAAACTCTTCCAGTGACTGCACTGTCAAGCCCCCTTGTGTACATTTCAATGAGATCACCTTCCCATTAGGACTCGTCTACTCACTGGAGGATCTGATCTTGTGAAGGGGGAAGGTGACAGCCTCGTGGTGAGATCACTGGACTATTAATCCAGAGACCCAGGAAATGTCCTGGGGACCTGGGTTCAAATACTGGCATGGCAGCTGGTAGAATGAAAATCTGGAATTAAGAGTCTAATGATGGTGAAAAATGACTGGGGTGGGTGGGAAAGTCACATCTGGATCACTAATGTCCTTTCAGGAAGGAAATCTGCCATCCTTTTCAGTTCTGGTCTGTATTAGACCCCAGACCCACAGCAATGCAGTTACTGTCTTGGCAGTTAGGATTGGGTAAAAAACACCAGCCTGGCCAGCAATGCCCACGTCCTGTAAATGAAAGAAGAACCTCCAATGCATTTCCAAGGCAAGTAGAACCACCCTTCCTCAGGTAAGGAGAATAAAAGTGTGCACCAAGATAATTGCAGGAAGACCATTTTGCCCATGCAATCCAACCCCTTTCTGATGAAGGCTAACATACAAATTATTTTCTCAATAGTTATCATGAAGGTTCAATACACTTGCTGTGATTCACACACAGTGACACCCTTGGAAAACAGCATTTTCCAGTTGTGTGCCGCGTTAAAATAATAAGCTGCTTTCCTAATGATCTTTCATTGTGGATAAGGTTGCATTTTCTCACACAGCCCACACACTTAAACTACCTGTAACCTTCTGCAGTCTCTTGGCATCTGACACACATTTAACATTTCTACCTAACTTTGTATTGTCAACAAACACGGCTCCTCACTCAACAGTCACAGACATAGAAGTAAATAGCCAAGGTTCAACCATTGATCCTTGCGGTAGCCTGCTGGTAATCTGCCAACCTGAAAATAACTCTTGTTCCTATTCCCCATTTCTAGTTCATTAATCAATCCTCAACCCACAACTGTGAACTCTAATTTGTGGTTGTTAAGACTCTCACAGACTTTGTCAAAAGACTTCTGATAATCTAAATGTATTAGACCTTGTCAACTTTGCTTGTTTGCAACTTCAAAGATCTCTAATAGATATGTCAAACACAAGATCCTATTGGTAAACTTGGGCCAACTTTGCCTAATCAAATTAACCTTTTGAATATCAAAGAGTCAGAGTCATACAGCATGGAAACAGACCCTTTGGTTCAACAAATCCATGCCGATCATAATCCCAAGCTGAACTCATCTCACCTGCTTGCCCTTGGTCCATATCCCTCCAAACATTTCCTATTCATGTACTTATCCAAATGTCTTTCAAAAATTGTAACTGTACCTGTATCTACCACTTCCTCTGGAAGTTCATTCCACACACAAATCACTCTGTGTAAAAATAAATTACACCTCATCTCTTTTTTAAAATCTCTCTCCTCTTGTCTTAAAAATATGCCCTCTGGTCTTGAAATCCCCCATCCTAAGGAGGAGACACTTGCCATTCATGTTATCGATAACCCTCATGATTTTATAAACCTCTATAAGGTCACCTCTCAACCTCTTATACTCCAGTGAAAAAAGTCCCAGCTTATCCAGCCTCTCCTTATAACTCAAACCCTCCATTCCAGGCAACATCCTGGTAAATCTCTACTGAACCTTCTTCAGCTTAATAATATCCTTCCTATAACAGGGAGGCCAGAAATAGACACAGTACTGCAGAAGAGGCCTCACCAATGTACTGTACAATGTCCAGTCGAGGTTAATTCTTTGCTCTGCTGGACCAGCAGGTTTTGAATTCACCAAGTTGAACAGCAGACACCTCATTTGGAGTAAAAACCAAAAGAACTGCGGATGCTGTAAATGGGGAACAAAACCAAAGTTGCTGGAAAAGCCCAGCAGGCCTGGCAGCATCTGTGAAGGAAAAAACAGAGTTAACGTTTTGGGTCCAGTGACCAGTTCTGAGGAAGGGTTACTGGACCCGAAATGTTAACCTCATTTGGAGTATTGTGTTCAGTTCTGGGCACCTTATTTAAGGAAGGATGTTAAAACCCTGGAGAGAGTTCAAAGGTGATTTACTGGAATGATAGCTGGAACGTGGGATTTTAGATATAAGGAAAGATTACAGAAATCGGGCTTACTCTCTTTGGAGCAGCGAAGATTAAGACTTGACCTTAGTGAGGTCTTCAACATTATGAATAATTTTGACAGGGTAAAGAAGGATAATCAGTTTCCACTAGTTGGTGTGGCAGTAACTGATGGGAGGAGTGTAAGATCACAATTTCAAGACTGTCAGTGGGAGAGCTAGGATTGGAATGAGGAGAAACTTCTTCACTCAGAGAGTTGTTAGGATTTAGATTGTGCTGGCTGGGAGAGTGGTGGAGGTGGATTCCATGGGAGGTTTCAAAAGAGAGCTGGATATATATTTGGAAGTGGTGAATTTAGAGGGCAATGGAGATAGGGCAGGAGAATGGGAATTACTGGGCAACTCTTTTGGGAGCTGGCACAGACACAATGGGTCAAATGGCCTCTTTCTATCCTGTAAAATTCTATGATTCTATTTTTAAATGGTGTCTCTAGTTATGAACTAGACAGGAGGAAACAAGCTCTCAGCATCTGCTCTGTCAAGTCCCCTCAGAATCTTGTATGTTTCAAGATCACCTCTCATCCTCTCAACTCCCTTTGAACATAGCCCAATTTGTTCACCTTTTCGTCTTGAGACAAATCCATCAACTTAAGAATCACTTTAGCATACTTTCTCTAAACTGTCTCTAGTGCAAACATGTCCCTCCTCAAGTGATGAGGCAGAACTGCACACTATACTCCAGAGTACACTATACTCTCAGCAGTGCTCTGCACACTGCAGGAGACTTCCCTATTTTCATACTCTAAACCCTTTTGACATAAAGGCTTACATTCATTTCCCATCCTAATTATTGGTTATACCTGCACGCTAACTGAGATTCATGTTGAACACCCAGATCCCTTTCTAATGCAGCATCCTGCGTGCTCACCCCAATAATACTCTGCTTTGGTATTCTTTCTGCCAAAGTGGACAACCCTCACACTGTCCTACATGATACTGCATCAACCAATGTTTTGTTTTGCCCACTCGCTTCATTTATCCATATCCCGCTGAAGTCCCTTTGCATCCTCCATACAACATGCTTTCCTATATTTGTCTAAAATCTTTCATCCGAGTCATATATGGATCATAAATGGTTGAGACACCAGCAGCTGGGGAATGTCACAGAGATAGAGAAGTGCCTGGAATTTAGGGATAAGGAAAAGATTTTAAATGTTCGGCATTAAGACCAGGACTCGACACAAGTTAAATGGGGATCAATAGTTAACAAGGAGTCGACCCCGACTGGGTGTTGTAGACCAGCAGGTTCCAAGGCCCAGGACTACGTGTTGAGGGATGCACTAAAGCTTGGGGCAGCTGCTGCCAAGGGGCAGTGGGGTAAGACCACCGTCTGAGGTCTTCCTGCTGAAGGTAAATGGGGGTCCGTTCAGTTATCGGACCTTCCTGGTGCCTTCAAATGCATGTAAATACAGCCTAGTTCAAGTAAGATATGCCTTTGGTTTATTTGGATAGAGTCAAACTCCAATGTTTCCTTGATGTGCTACTGTACAGAACCAAACTGTGCTTGTGACTATGTATATATTTATAAAAAATATCCTTTTATATAAAGTACCTTTTTGAGGATCAAGAGTTAAGAATCAGAAGCAGCCCAATGCCAATTGGCTCCTCCAGTTGTTATTGTTAAATGTTAGTTAAAAGAGTCGAAGGATTGTGAAAGCGCTGGCAATTCTTTATTTTCATGAATATACATTACAGCACTGTGTACTTGCAAGTTTGGCAAGGATTTATTCCCAAGGCTGGTAGGGATCATCATTGCAACATAAAACCAACCTGGGAACAGCTCCTCCTCCGCGGTGGGGGGGATGCCAGCGCCACCAAGTGGCTAAACAGAGACACACATCATTTCGATGGAACAGGTTTAATTTTGGTTCTGTTTACCAGCTACAGCAAAGGTGGGACCTTTTCAGCCCGTTGTGTCCATGCTGGATCCCTGCGAGAGCTACCTCCTCCCGTCCCCTCCTCTCTCCAACCACGCCGCAATTTCTTTCGTTTCAGCTTTTGTAAGCCACAGTTGACTCAGCCACTACCAGGCAGCTCCTAACTCGAAAGATTTTCCTGTGCGTTGCCATTGCTTCACTTGCCAATGACCTTAAATCTGTACCCTCTGGTTCACAGCCCAGCCCACAGTGGGAAAGGCTTCCCCTACATACTCTGTCCACAGTAAGGAGAAAAGCCCTAGTTTCTCCAATCTACCCATGTAACTGCAATCCGTCATTTCCCAGTTTCACATTGTCTAAATCCTCAACAGTTCGGAAAAATCTCCCAACGGTTCCCGCCCTCAGAACTCTTTGTACTGATTTCACCAATATCAGCCTGGCGAACCCCATAGATTATGAGCTTCCCGTTTGGGGCTCTTAATCTGGTCCAATCAGGGAGCCCTGGCTGACAGATATAAACAGGAGTGTCAGGGGTTCTGCACACTCTCGAAGCCAGCACTGAGCGAGCTGGGACAGCGTCATGTGCCGTGTACGTGTGAATAAAGGATAACTTGGTGATGGGATGCTGGCCTCTTTGAAGTTCTTTCAGTCTCGGCTCCTATTTCATAGCTTGATGTTGTCATAACTCCAGAAAAACACCAAATCTGTGCGATAGGATTCAATCTCTTGGGTGGGCTGATATTGCCCATATCTTTCTATTTCTGCTCCTGAGCCATGACAAGATCTGGAGGGATTTTCCCCATCAGCATACAAATAAAACTACTGCATTTAACACCTTCCATAAAACATTTTGTTTGTGCTATTTTTGTCTGCATATTTGATGTTTTATAAATTTTGATCAAAGTGTTTCTCTTTTTTTAAATACGAGTCAAATGTTACGAGTTTCTTTTTTACCTGGGTTGATGCAGTCTAGCATTTCTTTCCAAGCTGTGTACTGTAAAGGACCTTTGAATACACCGAGAGATAGGCCCTCATCAACAAACGGCAAGGTAGGATATTTCTTGTATGCAATGCTGGAAGATTAAACTTTTCAGATTAGGATGCTGTTCCTGAAGCAATTTCATGAAGTAAAAAAAAAAAATTGAATGCAATCTTTGCCACTTAAAATAAATTCAAACGTGTTTTACCTAATCTTCTGAGATGCTTCCACCTAAACAACAACAAAAACAACAAATTCAGGCTAGGGGTGGCAGTCAAGAAATCCCACTATTATCTGTTATAAAACTACCACATATTGAGAATGAAGTAAGATCAGCAGAATAACAGTGGGAGTAGGCATTTTGGCCCCTCCAATCTGTGACACTATTCCATAAGATCATGACTGATTTTAATGAGATCTGTGGTCTAACAAACACGAAGCACATTTACCTGCTTGTGTGACTAGCTATTACTTCCAGTCATACAATTGACCAGTGAGCTGTTGCTTGTACTTCGGAGATGAGGAGACATTTCTTCACCGAAAGAGTGGTGCGCCTGTGGAATTCATTGCCACAGGATGTAGTTGATGCCAGAAACATTTGTTTGTATTCTAGAGATATAGCACTTCAGGTGAATGGGATTAAAAGGTTATGGGGAGAAAGCAGGATTAGGCGATTGAGTTGAATGGCCTCCTCCTGCTCCTATCTTCTATGTTTCTATGGAAACAGACACTTTGATCTGATTCGTCCACACTGATAAAATATCCCAATCTGACCTCAAGAGACAACAAGGTGCAGGGCTGGATGAACACAGCAGGCCAAGCAGCA